GTTCACATTATTAGATACGGACCCTAGTGAGGTGGAAAGGATTATAATGGGTCTGAAAGAAACAAGCGCGGTTGGATGGGACGGATTACCCACTAGTATACTAAAAAATGTAGACAAATTGTAGTACCACCATTAACCCATATTTTCAAAATTTGTCTCTCTGAAGGAAAATTCCCAGATTGTTTAAAAAAAGCAATTGTAGTTCCAGTATTCAAATCGGGGGACAAAAAAAACGTTTCCAATTATCGGCCTATCTCGATACTCTCATCCACGTCTAAAATATTAGAATAATTAATTAAGAACAGATTAATGAATTATTTACAAAGTAAATCCATATTATCGAATATGCAATATGGTTTCAGGCCTCAAATATCCACTGCTGATGCTGTGCAGGAAATGACCGATTACGTCTCTCAAGAATTAGATAAAGGCAACCAATCAATTGGCATTTTCCTTGACCTTGCAAAAGCATTTGATACGGTTTCTATTCCTATCCTATTAAATAAGTTAGAGAGCATAGGTATTCGAGGTAAGCAGCTTCAACTTTTTGAGAATTATTTAGAAAATCGATATCAATGCATAAAAATCGATAAGGTTGTTAGTTCTGAACAAAAAATACTCATTTTGGCGTGCCTCAAGGAAGTGTATTAGGACCAACCTTATTTTTGATTTATATAAATGACCTTTGCAATCTTGAACTTAACTCAGGTAAAATAATATCTTACGCAGATGATACCGTGCTACTTTTTTCCGCAAATACAGTTGACAAGGTTTATTCATATGCTCAGCAAGGTTTTGATAGAGTTAATAAATGGCTCCAACAAAACATATTAACACTGAATACGGACAAAACCAAATATATTCATTTTTCTATGCGCAGCTCAACCCAGCATATAAACATTCCAAAACTTTATGCACATCAATGTTACTCAGACACAGAGTCTAAATGTTACTACCCAGTTATTTCTAATACAAAAACTGTTAAGTACCTTGGAATAATTATAGATTCTACGTTTACATTTAAAAACCACATAAACCACCTATGCAATAGAGTTCGTAAACTAATGTTTGTTTTTAAAAAAATTTGTTCTTTTGCTGATAATAAGGTAATAAAACAAGTATATTACGCATTATGTCAGTCAATACTCACCTATTGTATAACCTCTTGGGGTGGAGCAGCTAAAACTATACTACTACCACTGGAACGCGCTCAAAGAGCTGTATTAAAAGTTGCAACATTCCGCCCTATTCTATTTCCATCGCATCTCTTATACAAATCCTATAATGTCCCCTCAGTGCGCCAGTTATTTTTTATGAGCACGTTACTAAAACAGCACTTAAGATTGCCTTATAGAAGAGAGGTCACTGATAAAAGGCGCAAAGATAAAGTAATTGAAACTAACATTAGAATAAGGTATTATTTCATGCATAGATTTTTTACATTCCTCGGCCCTTTTTTGTATAATCAAGTCAATGCAATTTTTTATATATATATATATATATATATATATATATATATATATATATATATATATATATATATATATATATATATATATATATATATATCCATTAAAAATGGCAGACTGTAAAAAAGGTAATTCGAACATGGTTACAAAATTTGTCATACGAAGATACGGAGAAGTTGCTGATTGTTTTAAGTTAATTAATATCATAAGTAAATTAATGATAATGTATTTACCCAAATAATCCTTATTAGTTAGTACGTTATTCATTTTATATAAGAAACAGAAAATATTTGTTAATGTATCTTTTAGCACATACACCTGAGATACAGGTTTATCCTAGTTCAGGTGCCTGTTATTGTAGAATATTTTTAAGTTAAGAATTTAATTTGTACAGTTTACCAAAATAAAATAAATTATTATTATATGTGGGGGGTATCAATATAGTTTTCTCATCTGGTTGGGTTCTAAAAATATATAATTATAAATGGAAATGAAAAGATAAATATACATAAATAACAATAACATAAAATAAATATAAAAATACATATATAAATAAAAGCCCTACCAGATGGAGGCCCTTGGCAGGGGGAGACCAAACAGCCGAGGGTTAGGGGGAAAGGGAAAGAAAGCGGCGGACGATGCGGGCGGTATCGAGGAGTACCGCCTTCTGCATTTGAGCCTGGAGTGGTCCGCCACGTAGTCCCAGCCGCCTCAGATGACCCGAGAGGCTGACTGGGATTAGCCCTTTTGCAGAGACGACTACAGGAATAATTTCGGTCAGCAGACCACCCCACATGTCTGTCACCTCGTGAGCCAGGTCCAGATATTTTGTATGCTTATCTGTTTCGGCTTTCACGAGGTTCTCGTCACACGGAATGGTAATGTCGACCAAAAATATCCTTGACTGTGCCCAGTCCATCAGCACAATATCAGGCTTATTCGCAAGAATAGTCCTGTCTCTGATGATGGCCCGGTCCAAATAGAGCCTGGCGCGATCATTTTCGAGCACGGTTTCCGTCAAGTACTTGTAATACGGTAATTTCCGATCCACGAAACCGTATTTCAGAGCGAGCTCCTGGTGTAGAATTCTGGCTACTAGGTTGTGCCTGTGCAAGTACTCAGAGTTAGGAAGCGCCGAACAACCGGAGATGACATACCTAAGTGACTCACCGGGATGTCGACAAGCTCGACAGATGTCCACGGTGCCATCCTTTAGGATGTATCTCCGATAGTTGTTGGTCTTAATAACCTGATCCTGTATTGCACAGACAAAACCCTCGGTTTCCCCCGAAGAGGTCACCAAAGCGTAGCCAGTGGAGGGAGGTTACTGTGTCTACGAAAGGCCCATGTAGAGACTTGTAGAACCTCCCGTGGAGCTCCTTCTCCAGGTTGGTGGAAATTGTTGCATGCTTCATTGCTCGTTGGCTAAGGATAGAGGGGTAAGTCTTTTATCACAAGAAATGACGTCTTTATAGAATGGATCATCCGATCTCGCCAGGAAGTAATTACGAAGGCTGCACACTTCGCGATTATGCATGGTGAGCGCGTCCAAGAAGCCACGCCCACCATGCTTTCGCGGCAAGTACAGCCTCATTACCGACGATCTCGGATGATGCATCCTGTGGGGTATGGTAGGGGACTTTTTTCAGGGCGTTAAGTTTTGAGGCATGGTATGCCAGGTAATGGGCGGTGACCCAGCCGTTATATGCGTGTGTCTCATTCACACCGGACAAAAGGCTGTTAAGCACTTTGGTCAAGCGTGCATAAAACACGTCGCAAACTGACTGTTTCATACCAGCCTCATCGATACCGATGTTCTGTGACATACCCAGGTATCGGTATGTTTCAGCTTTGGAAAGGGTCCTTAAGTTGACGGGCATAGATAAGTCTATGCCCTCAGAGTTAGCAACCCTACCCCTCTCAACATGGAGTACCGCACACTTATCCGTCCCCAGCTCCATTCCAATGGAATTGCTAAATTCACAAGTGATGTTTACCAATTCCATAAGATGGGAGCGACTAGAGGCGAATAACTTGAGGTCATCCATATAGAAAAGGTGGGTCACCTTTGTCCCTCCTTTCCGTAGCTGAAATCCCCCTCCCGGAGCCCTCCAGTAAGGTACAGAGAGGGTTTAGATAGAGGCAGAACCATATTGGACTCAGACAATCGCCCTGGAAGATACCCCTTCCTATCCTTATGTGGTTCTCCGCAGTCATCATCCGCTCGCCCAGATGACAAAGTATCGTACTCCACTGCCCCATACACTGCTCGAAGAAGTCTCTAACTGTACAGTCTATCTTGTATAGTTCGAGGACTCTCTTTAGCCATGTATGGGGCAACGAGTCGAATGCTTTTCTGTAGTCTATCCAGGCGGCGGAGAAGTTCCGACGGTTGCGTTTCACCACTTTGCCAATGACCGCGTCAATGAGGAGTGGTTCCTTGGTTCCACGACCGCCGCCCCGACATCCATTTTGAGCGCGCGACATCACCTGATTTGAGTCCAGGTGACGAGTGATTCTCGCGCTCAAAATGGATGTTAGTGTATTGTATATGGTCGGTAGACACGTGATGGGGCGGTATTTGCTCGGGTCTGTGGTACCCTGGCCTATAGGAACCAAATGGGTGATCCCAGTAGTGAAGAGGCTCGGGAGCGACTTCTGGTTGAGAACCTCTTGAAACTGTCGGGCGAGCACAGTGTGACACACCACGAACCCCTTCAGCCAGTAGTGATGCAGCCCGTCGAGTCCCGGACTTTTCCAGTTCGGGGCCCTACGGACCGCCTCAGCTACGTCATCCGGCGTTATGGTGACGGGGTCCATGGGCGTAATACCCGCACAATGACTCGCCACAACTTCCGTCCAATGGCCCTCGTTGTGGTTTACGGGCTCTGACCACAGGCTGCGCCTCTATAAATCATTGAGGCTCTATAAATCATTGAGTTGTAAATCTGGTAGCTCCAATGATTTATAAAGCCTCTTCTGATCACTCTGGAAGAGACGATTCTGGTTGAACCGTGTCGACCTCTCGGTATATCGCCAAATTCGCTTTCCCCAAGCAGCGATTCTCTGCTTCAGGTCGTCTATGCGCTCCGTCAGTTTTTGCATTATATCCGGCTGGGACAAACTAACATTTGTCCCAGCAAACGCCATCCTGACGGTGCGCACAATCCTTGGCCTGGTATTGCCTGACCTGAAGCATATCAGTCTGCCGATGAGGGCCCTAGCCTTTGCGATACGTTCTTCAATTCTTGTTCTCCAGGCTGGTACAGCACTACTTTGTCCAGTAGTGCGTCCAGCCGTGGAAAGTTTGGCGCCCATAATACGGCAGACTGCCAGTGCGGCGCCAAAGAAAATTGATTCGGTCTCGCAAAGGTCCCGGCTGGCTTCCAAATAGGTCACCAGCATTGGGTTCAGAGCCCTCACGACAGCCCGATTCCGCTTGCTTAGGGCTATGCGGGGAAGTCGCGGTCGATTTTCGAGAGGCGTACTGCGCGTTTCCATAATCGCCTCTTCCAATGTACTCCTCATTTGCTATATTTCTAGTTCCTGGGTGAATGTTCCATCATCATTTGAATCAGCAACCACTGGGGTATTCTCGGCGGCATCCACGTGTGCGGATTGTTCTGCAACTTGTGGCACCGAACCCCCAGTCGTAGCGTTTTCATTTGATGAGGGAACAGCCTCACGTCGTAGCCGTTCGAGTTCGGCGCCATCAAATATATTTGAACGTAAGATATACCGAACTCGGTCTGCCAGGTTTTGCTCGGTGATAGTAATAGATGGCTCCAGCTCAGTAAAAAGACGATGCATCCTAGCCCGATACGCGAAACCTCCAATTTCTCCCCCTTTCGCCCTAAAATACGCCCGCAATGCGTTTGTATTCATATTGACGGTCCATCGCATGCGGCGTACTCCACCAGTGGCGGGTGCCGATTGCTGGGTCTGCGAAGACCCTGCCGACACCAAGCAAGCTGGTGGGGATGATGGATGTGAGGGGCTGCTGGGTGGGTAGGGCGGTTCGCATGCTGTCGCGTCCAGCGCCAGCTCCAGACGCGCCCTGATGACCTCCAGGCAGCGGCCCTTTGCGCAATCTTCTGTGTTCCATCATCCATACAGGGCGTCATTTAACGGGAGACGGAGACGCCCAGACCCGGCGCCGTTTCATGGTGAGGCCATATGCACAAGCGGGCCCTTGCACCATCAATTTTTGCCGGGGCACGGCGCTCACAACTCTTGGCAAGGTGCTGACTGACTGCGCGGACGTAGCGGTTTTGTCACATAACCGTCACGTCAGCGGGCGATGGGGTCGTCACTTCCCTACGCCATTTTTATTATTATTATTTTTATCAAAGTGCTGAAGTGTTTGTACAGTAGGGCTACGATGGTTATCCAAGTACAGAACCAGAGTCCGAAACCTATCCAACTGCAGAGAGTTGTAACACAGGGTGACGTTGTAAACCCGAAACTCTTCACCGCTGCAGTGGAAGACCTTTTCAAGCTACTGGACTGGAATAGATACGGTATTAAAATCATTGGCGAGTACATCACTCACTTTCGCTTTGTCGACGATATATTCCTTATGGCAGAATCGCTGGAGGGCCTAAGCACTATGCTCAATGACTCAATGGTGTCTCCCAACAGAGAGGTCTTAAGATGAACATGGAAAAAACAAAGGTCATGTTTAATGTCCATGTCACAATATGAACATAAATGAACATGTCACAATACCTATGCCGTTAGTTGTTGGGAGCACTATGATCGGACGGATCTGAAACGTGGCCCTTCACTGCTGGCCGTATGAGGACGTTCAAGGTCGCTCAGCGAGCTATAGAGAGGGCTATGCTCGGGTTTTCTCTACGTGATAGACTCAGAAATGAGGATATCCGCAGTAAAACCAGAGTGACCGTCATAGCCCAACGGTTTAGTAAGCTAAAGTAGCAGCCTCGTAACGGTAGGCGTTTCCCCCACTAGATGGAGTGACGACCTAGTAAGACATGCAGGAAGTCGATGGATGCAGGTGGTTCAGGAACGTGCTTTGTGGCATTACTTTGGGAGGCCTATGTTCAGCAGTGGACTTTTGAAGGGCTGTAATGATGATGATGATGAATAATTATTTTCACGACTTAAAAGATTTTAGATGGTTTCTCTCAAGGATCAGTCTAACAAAGGGTTTGTATTAAGCTTTTTATAATTTCTGGTCAAACTTTTCCCATTCCGATTTCATCAAAAAATCTTTGTCAATTTTTTTATATTTTTTAAAGACAGCGTGATTGAACGGAAATACTTTTCTAGTTGGAGCTGCATTCATTAGAATATTTTGATTATTATATGCTTCCGTATGAGGAAGATTAAGGTTGTTTTGTGATTTATGAATAGGACTACGCTCGAAATTTCTCTGTGTGATAAACTTTGTAAAGATTACATCCGCAAAAAAATAATTGTAACCGACACAGCCCAAAGTGTCATTTAGATAACATAGATCCATTAACTTAAAACCGATGACAAAGGTAGGGTCTCGAGAGACAGCCTCGTATTGGTGAGGAAAGTGGCGGAATGGTTTCTAATGGGCCACATAAATATTAAAAATCTGGAACTGAAAGCCAAACATTTTGTAAGTGACGACGATTCGACTACGCGGTTCAGTTTGTTAGATACTCTCTTACGACATCGCAGACCCTTGGTAAAGGCTGATTCAATTTAAGTAGATAATTTCGAAGAACCAGCAAGTGCGACGCGGCGAGGAGCTTCGAACATCAGGCAGTAGCCTTGCAGCTGCTGAAGTTCGAAGCGCCGAAGTAATGCCGACCAATTTGACAGGCTTGCGGAAAGGTCTCGTTAGCGGTATTTCACACTCCTTCATATATACCAGATTTGTTGAGTTTTTATAACATTTCATTTTATACACGTGAGATGAGGCGAAGAAACGGTGCGGCGATACATACACGTACGGTGCGCGTGCCTCAGGCAAGTAGTTGGCGACAATAGAAAATGCACTAGATTGGAGCTTAACGACGAGTGAGGTGCATTCGTAGGTCGTACACACAAGGTACCGTTCACTACTGAGAATCGTGTTCTGCAGTCTTCAGTTTCTGCAAGCCAGTCCAACTTGTCTTCATCTCGACTCACCGATATATCTGCAGCGTGGCTCTACAAATTGAGAAACTAAGTGTCATACCGCTTCAATGTACGTATTGATGATATTTCTTTACGGATTACTTGACAACACACTTTAAAATATTTAACGAGCAATATATTTTATTATTATTTGTGGTAAGTAGACTTTTCGTAGGGAATCTAATGGGCCGTAAAATAAAGTAATTATTTTTAGTGACGGGCAAAGTTTACTCTATGTATTTATGTATATTTTATGATGTTTTCGCATTTGAATTTTTTTGTTGTTTTTATCCTAACATAAAATTGAGATCGCTCTTTCACCTGCCGTTAAGAGAAGGATTCTATTGACGCATTTTAATTATTTAAAAATTATCAGTCTATTAATTAAATCCTGAAATTTTATGAATGAATTTTCATGGTTCGGAAGAAATATTACATGACCTTTAATTTGACTCGGCCTGTTATTAAGCTGTCGAGCAACAGATTCATTAACTATTGAAATCCGTTTGGAATTACTTTGACGAAATGTAATGAACCGTAATTGAACTTTGTGTTTGAATTTGGCAACACTATAATAATACGAGTATGTTCCCGGTCATTACTTTGACGTAATTAGAGAGTTATAATTATAAAGATTATATTGTGATCCTAGATCTATGGATCAAAAGAAGTTTGTTCTGTTTTTGTAGAAAACAGGTGTCAAACAAACACACAGTCCAGGTGATGATAACTAGTTACGGTGACGCATGGAAATCAACATTTATCCGCAATTACGGAACAAAATTCAGATTCACTGTCACCTCAGAAGACTAAGATGAAATGCCTCGATTTAAGTGGAAAGAGGTCTCCGGTATTCGGTGCTCACTATATGAAATAAAACACCATTAGGTTACTATTTTACGCTGGTATTCTGTGAGAGCGTGGTTTTGCGCCAGGCGAGGCGATCCATTCATTTTAAAAGTATAGTATAGCTGCAGCATGGCTCTACCACGTAGAAAGCGTGGTATATTCTCATATATACTGCTTGTACCGATGATAATAAATGGCAGTGGGTCGATCACAGAACTCATATATAGAACATTTCTTAGAAAATATTTGCAATAAGAACGCGGTGTATCGGTGAAATAACCAAAGATGACAACATGTCATGACAACATGACATGACATGCTAGAAGTCAGTAGGCGCACTGGGGGACTCTTAAGGTTGGTAGAAGATTTGCATACACTGTCACTTTTTGGACTTTGATGACAAAACAGTTGTAATTTATTATAACTATATAAATGTATTCAAATAAAAATTTCATAAAAGGGTGATTAATCCTGGATACGACCAAATAAAACAATGAAAACTGGTGTTGCTAACCCACCAGCCAAGCGCGGAAAATATGGGATATATCACCCCTATAAGGCAATTTAAGAGGGAGGTCTATGTTCAGCAGTGGGTTTTTGATGAACTGTAAAGGTAACCATGTATAATTATAAGTAGTTGACAAGAGGTAGCTTAGTGGCGGATCTGAACTCATGACTTTTTAACATTGCTCCACCTTTAATCCTTAACTGCTGCTGTCGAATTTAGGATTATTTGGTTATTGTGCTCGATTGTTTGCACTAAAGCAGTTATTATTTTAAGGATATTTACATGTGTATAATATCTTTGCGCTATGAGTCCCTATTTATAATATTATTCTAATATTTTTCATCATTATCGTCAACATCATACAAAATGTATACAATTAAATATTACGTATATATATATATATATATATATATAATATATAATTAATAAATTATAATAATTATGTTTTTCAAACAGACTCTCGGGAACGGCGGCCGGTCATAACAGGGTCTAACTATCTGTGCAGGATAGGGTTATAGTGTAGTTTACATTTTCTCGTTTTCTAATGAGACGGTAATCCGACACGAACGCAGAAAGGTACTTTCCAAGGCACTGGGATGAAACATCGCCAACTTCCTGAATCCGGGCTGCTACCAAGAAGATAAAAACATAAAAACCCAATAACTGATTATTGGCCTAACCTGGGATTTAAATCCAGCACCATATGATTAACGGTGGCATTTATAACACTATAAGAAAGTGGTAGAGCCGCGCTGCAGCTATATTATAGTTGTAGCACGAATGGGTCGGCTCGACCCGGGAAGGACGACGCTCCCACAGAATACCAGCGTAAAATAGTAGCTTAATGCTGCTGTGTTTCGTATGGTGAGTGTAGAGATATAGAGACCCTTTTTTACTGGAAACGAGGCATCTTAGTCCTCAGGTGTGAAAACGCATCTACGTTTTGATTCTTAATCGAGGATAAATGTAGATGTCTATTATGAGTCACAGGATCCACTTGCCATCAAGTGGACTGTGTGCTCGTTTGTCACCCTTATTCTATGTAAAGAAACTTTATACTACTGAAATCTGTAAAAGTGTTTGTGGTAGCTCAGGGGCCAAAGCTCCCTGTGAATTTTACGGCACGTAAAATATTCGAATTTTATCGATAGCGGTGCTGATATATCATCTGCTCGGCGGTGAACTAAAATGTGCCGCATGTCTTGAAAATAAAATTTTTGGGGCCATGAACCTGATATTGTTCATGTCTCTTGGAAGAGAAGGCCAAATTGTCCCCTAAAATGCTTGGCGCTTAGCAAAGTTGGTATTTCATGCCGTTACACCGCCTGCAACTTTACAA